GGTTTAGGGTTTAGGAATTAGGTTTCCAGGTTACCAGCACCCCCTTCCGCGCTCAAGTTGGTCTATATGAGCTATAGTCTAAACTCCTTAAAGGGGGGATATATAGAGGATTATATAGGGGACTACTATAAGGGTTACTAGGGGGGATGCTAGGAGTTTAGACGATGGCTCATATAGGTCCTACTTCTGGTTTTTTGGGTTCCATAGAGGAGACTTGGGGGGGTCTAGGTAGGATTTGCGTTTTAGGTTGTAGGATTCAGGGGTGAAGCCTAGACCCGAAACCCTATCTGTCTTCTTCGGGCCGCTTTTTGGATTCATTGTAGTGACGGAGCGTAGGGGAAGATGAGAGGGTGTATCGGACAAAAATATTACGAGGGTTCTTGAATGAGTGAGCTGGAGGTATCCGAAACAGTACGTGCCAAACATCCTGCGCGCTACAAAACACAAGTAACCGTCAGCTCTACAGTGTATTTTGGATATTGCCCCCACTTAGTAAGAGGTGGATATCACTTGTCATATGCATATACAAAGCCCTTAATTAATACCCTTTTACAGACTGAAAAATGGGTGTGGGTGGGAGAAGTACCCGCGCCCTACCAGCGATTCTATTTTCCATTCGAATCTCCATTTTGTGGCAATCTGAATCTACACCCTCCCTAAACCAACCTACATTCCGCAAGAATGGAGGTTCTCCATGTGGGGGTGCCCTCAGGAGCGCTGGGGATATGTGCGATTTCCATGGTGCTAAGGTATTACAGGGGTTTGGGGTGTAGGGTGCAGGCAGGGTTTATAGTTCTTACTAAGAATGATAGAGGAGCATTTTCGAGAAAGTCCCATATCAGCTAGAGAAGAGCAGCAAATAAAAAGTAGTAGCAACAGCACCAGCTGCAGCAGCTACAACGGTGCAGAATACGTTATTCTCGAGACCCTAAAACCCCAAGCGCTGAAACCTAAACCGCAAGGTGAACTTGTCATCACTCGCACTCACGGGCACCCAGTGGGTCGCATGCTCGAGGCCTACAGGAAGCTAAACGCCTCCCACCCAGACCTCACGTCTGAGGTGGAGGTTAGGAGCCAGCCAGCCTGAACTAGTAGTTTCCATTTTCTTTTCCATTATCCCAAAATGTCCCCTATATATCCCCTATATACAGGGCTTGGGGATTTGGGTTCTGAAACATAGACTCAGTGATCCTTGCCCGGTGCATCGAGACTCAAGCTGGGCTTTACCCTGCCACGCTCTTTCAGCGAGACTGCTTTGGCAGTGTCTTCTCTGACACAGACCTCAAACTACAGGGGTTATTAAGGGGGATACTAGGAGTTTAGACAATGGTACATATAGGGGATAATGGAAAAGAACATGGAAACTACTATATATATATATATAGATAGATATGTACAGCAGCTCAGAGCATGTTTGTGGCCAATCAGCTCGGTGGCCTGGTTGCTGAGAAATGCACCTCGAAGCTCCAGCTCACAGACACAGACTGGGTAGGCCTTTGGGTTCCCTAAATGTATTTTCCTTTATTGGTTTTATAGGAACCCATCTATACTAATGTTCAGTTCAAGGCTCGGTTCAAGGCAGAGCTCGGCGAACTGCGAAGTGAGTGGCAGGAGGGCAGAAAGGATGCAGACGAACTGTGGAAGGTCGGCCCCGTCACATCAATGGTGGCGGCTCGGACCTTCATGAAGGACAAGAACCTCAGAGCCCTAAACCCTAAACAGCGGGTCCATGCACCCAATACTTAGGTCCCTTTAAAAGGGAGTATATAGGTATATATAGGATTTAGGGTTTAGGGTTTAGGGTTTTCTAACTTGAGCTTTCAGCCTCTAAGCCCCAAACCCGAAACCCTAGATCCCTCTAGCTGTAAACTCTAGATCCTACAACCCCTAAGCTCCACGCCTAAACCGCCGGCTGAACTCCAAACCCCAAACATGTATCCTTCAAACCCTAAAAACCCTAAACTTACTAGTGGTTAGCAGGGGAATGTAATGCCTATCTAAACCCCATATGATCTGTTCCCTCATTCCCTATTAACCTCCAGCAAGTAAACCCTCAAGCCCAATAGCAGGTCATGAGAACCCCCAAAACCCAAACCTTAAAAACCCTAAACACCCCAAAAACCCTAAACCTAAACCGCTTAACCCCTAAACCTTAAGCCCTAAAACCCTAAACTCTACACCCGAAAAGCCCTAAACTCCTGATGGCAGGTCATGGGCATGGACGATGGCCCGCGCGAGAAGCTGCTCGACGGTCTGTCCCAGCGGCAACCTCAGTCCTTCTGGGGACCTGGGTGTAGGGTTTAGGATTTAGGGTTTAGGGGGGGCCTAAGCCCTAAACCCTTTTTTGAGGAACATCGGTCCCTGCAGAGAGATCATGATATGTCGGGATTGGGGTGTGGGATTTTAGGACAAGGGCTTGCGGGAATTCACGTTTAGAATTTCACCCCCAACCCTAAGCCCTAAGTTTACAGTTTAGGAGTTCAGTGTTTACGGGTTACGGTCATGCGTTTAGAGGTTCGATGGCTTGATAGGTCCGGGTCTGGGGTGTAAGTTAGGTCAATCCTCCCTATCGGAACAGCTCCTTAGTATGGAGTTAATAGAGCCTTAAACCCGAAACCTTTAAACTCTAAACCTAAACCCCTAAACCCGAAACCGCCTAAACCCTAAACCTACTCCCTTGTGGTACCGTGGGGACTGATTCAAGGTATAGGGCTTAGGGGTAAGCGCTTAGCGAGAAGGTTGCAGCGAGGATGAAGATGGATCCCAAGATCTAAGCCACAATGTAGACCCAGGGTTTAGGGTTTAGGGTCTAGGGTTACTAAACCCCCTCCCCTTGAAAGGGACTATAGTAGGGAATATAGGGAGAATGGAAAAGAAAATGGAACCTACTATATGATATAATGGGGTATTTAATAGGGAGTATAATAGGGATCCTAATATTCAGGCCCTGAAAAGGAGGGGGTTGATTAATCATGGGCCTACATTGACCCTAAACCCTAAACCCTAAACCCTAAACCCTAAACCCTACATTACACCTTAATTGGGGGTCCATGTTTGGGTGCATCCTCGTAGGATCCGTAGAGGGTTTAGGGTTTAGGGCTCGAGGTTTAGGGTTTAGGGTTCGAGCTTTAGGGTTTAGGGCTCGAGGTTTAGGGTTTAGGGTTCGGGTTTAGGGTTTAGGGTTCGAGGTTTAGGGTTTAGGGCTCGAGGTTTAGGGTTTAGGGTTCGAGGTTTATAGGGTTTAGGGTTTAGGGGTGCCCTAAGAGCTACCTGGAAGGCCAAGTTACCCGAAAGAATGGGCTACTTTCACTTACTAGGGGTTAGTAGGGAAGCATTCTATAGGGATCACATCCCCTGATTCCCCACTAAGAGGCAGTAAGTTCATCCAAAGTGGTAGGATTTCAGGGAAATTTTTACCATAATTTAGATTGGGCCCCCACCCATTAATAGTGACCACAAGAGGTACTGGTACCTATACTAGGGTCCTTGTGTATTCCTAGTTTACCATTAAAGCCCTAAACCCCAGGGTTTAGGGTTTAGGGGTTTAGGGTTTAGGGTTTAAACCCTATAGACCCCAATACCCATCCGTACGCCGAGAGCCCAGTTGCAGTCAGTACCTTTTCTGGGTACTCCGGTCCTGACGGACTCCCAAACAGGTCAGCAATGGAGTGACGCCGGGCCACAAAAGGATGCGGTTAAGGGTTTAGGGTTTAGGGTTTAGGGTTTTGAGGAAATTCGGCTTGAGCTGTTGTTGGAATCCACATGGAAGAGTGCAAATTGCAGCTCATGTGAAGCTGGCTTCAAGCACTTGTGATCGCCATGTGCTCTACACCGACCATGGACCCTTAAACCCTAAACTCTCAATCCTAAACCCGCAATCCAAAACCCCTCAGCCCTAAACTAGCATGGGCCCCAAGTTAGGGTTGGCGGTACCGATTCTGAGCCCATGACGTGACTCTGACCCCTGAAGCGCAGTTTATTACCATTACTTAGCGTTTGGGTGTCCTTCTATTTTGAATTGAAAATTTTGCGATCAAGGAAATTTGAGAGCCCTAAGTAATGGTAAGCATGTAGGCTTGAGGGTTTAGGGTTCAGGGTTTAGGGTTGAGGGTTCAGAGCTTAGGGTTCGGGATTTAGGGTTTCGGGGTTTACTTGGATGATCCCTTGACGTAGTAAGTCTACCTACTATCATCCCCGAACTAACCCCGTTTATAAGCCCCATAACCCCTGTTACTAAATAAACTTACGAAGACGAAAAAAATCCAACTAAACCCTGAAACCAAAATCCCCAAATCCCTCAACACCTAGAAACCTAAGATCCCCTAAGCCATAAACCTTAATCCTGAAGCCCCCACCCAGGATCACGGATCTTGCAATCTTGAAGCCTAAACCTTAAACCCTCAACCCTAAACTCGAAGCCTGAAACCAGAGGTCGCAGCTCGCAGATGTTGCCCGCGCGTGCAACCGCTTCCCCGGCATCGCCCTGGAGTACAAGGCCGGAGCTTACTTCCCTCTGGTTAGCAGGGAATGAAGGATGGGAAAAGAATATGGAAACTGCCATATGTTGGAGTTTATTTGAGCCATAGTCTAAACTCCTTAAACGAGGTTACATGAGGGATGATATAGGCGCATATTATAGGGGTTATTAAAGGGAATACTAGGAGTTTAGACTATAACCCCTATAATCCCCTAAATAATCACAGTTTCCATTTCATTTTCCATTTTCTTTTCCATTTGATTCTCCATTATTGGGGGTTTCCATTTTATTTTCCATTATCCTAATATATAGCTTATATAGGGACAAGTACAAGGGTCCATTCCCTCACACCTGGCTAACCGGAGGTGGGCTTAGGAAGGACAAGGGTTAGGCTTTAGGGTTCAAGGGCTGCGGTCTGGAATTAGGGTTGAGGGTTTTGGGGTTGGGGATGTGGGGTTGAGGTTTCATTTTTCAGGATCTAAGGTTCAACCGTTCAACCCTAAATCTTTGTTGAGTGGAGGCTTGCGGTTTTGGGGCTTGAGACTTGGGTTCGAGGCGTAGGATATAGGTTAAGGGTTTGCATGCTTGCGTGCTTCTCATTGGCATGCGGTGATTATGGCAGTGATTATAGTAAACCTTGAGTGCTAGACCCTACACCGTAAATCGAAAGTCTTATGGGATCAGTTCCTTAACTGTCAAACCCTAAACCCTAAGCCCTGGACCCTGCATCTTTCTTTCTTTGTCCTCTCCCTCTTCTTCTTGACCCTAAACCCTATACCCCATAATCCCTATAACCCCTAAATAATCCCTATGATTCCAGTAGTTTCCATTTTCTTTTCCAGTATCCCAATATAACCCCAATACCCTAAACAGCTAATAAGGACTATGTGGAGCTTCATAAGGCCTAATATATATATATATATTTTTTTTTTTGGGGGGGGGAGGG